TCACTCTTGTGGGCATGAAGTGGTATCTCATTGTGGTTTTGATCTGCATTTCCCTGCTGACTAACATTGGGCATCTTTTTTTTTTTTTTTTAAGATTTTATTTACTTATTTGTCAGAGAGAGAGAGAGACAGATACAGAGAGAGCACAAGCAGGGGGAGTGGGAGAGGGAGAAGCAAGTTTCCCGCTCAGCAAGGATCCCGATGCGGGACCCGATCCCAGGACCCTGGGATCATGACCTGAGCCGAAGGCAGTCGCTTAACCGACTGAGCCACCCAGGCGCCCCTAACACTGGGCATCTTTTCATGAACCTGTTGGTCTTTGTGTATCTTCTTTGAAGAAATGTCTCTACATCCTTCCCCCAAATTTAATTTAAATGTTAATAAATTTATTTGCCTTTTTATTGCTGAGTTGTTAGAGTTCTTTATATATTCTGGGTACTAGACACTTACTAGGTAGACAGTTTGCAAATATTTCTTCTGTGGGGTTTTTCAACTTTCTTGTTAGTGATCTTTGAAGCACGGAAGTGTTTGATTTTGATGGAAGTCCCATTTATTTTTTTCTTTGGTGGTTTGTGTTTTCGGTGTCTTACTGAGAAACTGTTGCCTAATCCAAGGTCACAAAGATTTTTTGTTGTTGTTGTTAACGATTTTTTTTTATTTATTCATGAGAGATAGAGAGAGAGGCAGAGGCAGAGGGAGAAGCAGGCTCCCCGCGGAGCAGGGAGCCCGATGTGGGACTCGATCCCAGGACCCTGGGATCATGACCTGAGCCGAAGGCAGACGCTTAACTGACTGAGCCACCCAGGCGTCCCAAGGTCACAAAGATTTACATCTAAGTTTCCCTTTAAGTGTTATAGTTTGGCTCTTACATTGAGGTATTGGATCCTAAATGTTAATTTCTGGAGTTGACTGTCGTGTGCAGTCTGAGGCGTAGGGCCCAAATTAATTCTTTGGCATGTGGCTATCCAGCTGTCCCAGCACCTCCTGTTGAAAAAACTATCTTTCCCTTTTAATTGGCCCTGACACTTTTGCCAAAAATCAATTGACCGTAAACATACGGGTATATTTCTGGACTTTCTATTCTAGTTCATTGATCTGTTTATCCTTACGTCAGTATCACACTGTCCTGATTATTCTTTTTTTTTTTTTTTAAAGATTTATTTATTTGAGAGAGCGAGAATGAGAGAGAGACAGTACATGAGAGGGGGGAGGGTTAGAGGGAGAAGCAGGCTCCCTGCCGAGCAGGGAGCCCGATGCGGGACTCGATCCCGGGACTCCAGGATCATGACCTGAGCCGAAGGCAGTCGCTTAACCAACTGAGCCACCCAGGTGCCCTGTCCTGATTATTCTAATGAGGCAGTAAGTTTTGAAATCAGGAAGTGTGAGTCTTCCAACTTTGTCCTTCTTTCTCAAGGTTGTTTGGGCTCTTCTGGGTCCCTTGTATTTCCATATGAATTTCAGCTCACCTTGTCAGTTTCTGTGAAACAGCCAGTCTGTGCTTTTACATCTGTTTTGTTGTTGTTGTTTTTCTGGCCTGTAGACTTTCTTTTCTCTCCTGCCCTTGGTGCCAGGCCAGCCCCTGCAGGGAGCTCTGAGCGAGACCGGGCCTAGAGAGCGAGTCTCGGCTGCTTCGTGCGTGCACAGACCACACTGCCCTCATGAAGGCGGCCCCGGGGGGCATGTGTGCCTGAGCCCGGCCACACTCTTTGGCTCTCTTACTACCCGGCCTCTTGCCAGCTCTTGGTTGGAAGCAGCTCCCCCAGCAAAGTGGAGGTGATGAGGAAGCAGCAGTGTAACCCGGTGCATGGTTCTGGTTCCACTTGCAGGTTCTATCGTTGCTCCTTTTGCCAAACTGTCCAAGTTATGTTGTGGTCATCCTTACCCAGGGGGTCATCACCTCTGCCCCTGAGCCTAGGGGTCCCACTTTGGGAGATGTGTCTGGGAGACTGGGGCACGGTCCCGTGTGTTGGGGCAGCAATGGCGACAAGAGCTCCCTGCCCCTGGGCACCAGGGCGGAAACTGTGAGAACGACTTCCTTCATACACATCCTCCCACTGAGAGCTCACACACCCAGGGAGGGGGTGTTCTCTTGCCTCCATTTTACAGATCAGGCCACTGAGGCATAGACAGCGTGAGCTTACTTCTTCAAGGATCTGTGGCTGAGAAGTGGGGGTTGGGTGTGTGTGGAGGAGGGGAGCTTTGAACCACGACACTGTCCTGCCTCTTCATGGGGTTGGCCCCTTCTCGCTTAGTTTCTATAATCTCATCAATCACCACGGTGAAGTTCTCATCTTCCTGGTAGGGCTGCCTTGTTGGGTCAGTGCCCAGGATTTCTTAGGGTCAAGTTCAGTAGTAGCCTTATTCTACAAATAGCCAGGAGCGAGGAGTGGGTCTGTGACGAAGCACAGACACATCACTGCCTTGTGCGGTCTGTAGCTCTTGGTTGGGTTGGAAGCCCAGGTGCCCAGGAGAGCACTTGAGAAATTGTCCAGGCTCCCTGGCTATATCAGAAACCTTTGTTCCATTTGGATCACTGCTACCTGACCTAATGGGGTGCCCTCCTAGAGGCCCCGTTATTGATGCTTTCCCACTGGGACCCATGAGTGGCAGCAGGAGAATCTTTCTCTTCCCTCCCCTGCCAGAGGTTGGAGAGGACATGGTGCATTCTTAGAAGCCTTTGTTTCTCCAGTGAAGTGAACAGCCAGTTAGCAGCTACTTAACTTGAAAAACTGCCTTGCCTTCCCCAGCCAGCTGGAAGGCCACTAGACGGCCTGTCCTCTGGGTGTTTCTTAGAATTTGTTGTTCAGACTGGTGGCCTCCCACATTTTTGATTGGGCACCCCTGCAGCGAAAAATGCCAATGACACACATAAATGCATTCATGTATTAAATTATCTATGTATGAATGCACAGATATATTATGCTCACTCTAAAAATATACCAAAAAATTAAACATTTTAAAGGATGTCCTTTATTCTGGTAGATCTGCTCAAGACAGTCTTCACCAGATTAAAAGTCACGCGGACACCGTTCTTCCCCTGGCCCTGTCTCATTCCCACCATACCCTTACAACTCCCTAATGGAGAGGGCAGAGTTAATCCAGTATTAAGGATTTGCTACAAGATATGTTCTTCTTTCAGGCTTATCCAGAACCAGATCACAGCCAAGGGGATTGCCCAGCTGGCAGATGCCTTACAGAGGAACACTGGCATTATGGAGATTTGGTAAGACTCGTCCACCGCTGGTCATAATAGTAACAGTGCTTACTTACTCAGCACTGCCATCTGGGTGCCAGGCACAATGTGCAGGGGAGCTCTTTGCACTTATTCCTCATCTTTCCCATTATCTTGTGAAGTAGCTGGTATTATTTCCATTTCACAGATGTAGAACCTGAGGCCCAGAGCAGTGAAGTAAACCTGCCCAAGGTGCCACCTAAGAAGAGCAGCTGGAATCTGGCCCAGTCGGCCTGACCCTGCTCTCCTCCCCGGTCCCCTGTTCTCCTCTGCTTCCCTGAAGTTCCAGAGCAAACAGCTCCGGAAAGGCATTCCCACTGCAAGTGAAGCACTCAGGGACACAGGAGCTGAGAGACGAACGTGCTAGCTGGCGTTTGGGGCCCATTCTTCTCCTTTTCTGGGCTTCCTGGGCTTGAGGAGCTACTTCCATGCTGATTTGAGCTGACCTGTGGTCTTCCTCAATTTCCTGTTTCTGCCTTGAGGAGTGGCTTCTGAGGCTAGTGGGAGCCAAATCGTTTGCTTTCTATAACACTGAGCCCTATTCCACCCCATTAGTGCCTCACAAGACACATACCCCTGCCCCTGTTTGGGTCTGGGCTTGTAGAATGTGCAGGGCCATATGGGGTTTGGGGGGCGTTCTCATTAGTAACAGTTGCAGCCATGGTTTGGGTGCTGGGGAAATGGCAGTTAGCCAGACAGAAAGGACTCTGATTGCATAAGAATACCGGCTTCTTGGAGCTGAGAACTGGGGGCTGAACAGACTCCTCAGTGCTCTGGAGTTTGTCCTGCACCTCGGGCGGGAAACAGCCCTGCAAAGCCACCGTGTGGAGGACCCGGCAGGGGGCAAAGCCAGACCTCCCTTGAGGACACAGACGGGAGGAAGAGTTCACGCTCTCACTGTGGCTGCTCTATGAACTCAGATCCTCAGCTCAGGGGGTAGTTACTCATTAACTACTTTATTTCTTCATGACTTGGGGAGAACTTCCCAGCCAAAAAAAAGTAAATCGAGGTACAGCCCCTTGACCTCGGCTCCGAGAACAGTGCTTTTTAAACTTTCCTTTGGAATTTGTCAGCGGAGCAAAATGAGTTTGGCAGGTTGCAACCAGCATTATTTAAAAAATGAACTTGAGGGCGCCTGGGTGGCTCAGTTGGTTAAGCGACTGCCTTCGGCTCAGGTCATGATCCTGGAGTCCCGGGATCGAGTCCCGCATCGGGCTCCCTGCTCGGCGGGGAGTCTGCTTCTCCCTCTCCCGCTCCCCCGTCTTGTGCTCTCTCTCTCTCACTCTCTCTCTCAAATAAATAAAATCTTAAAAAAAAAAAAAAATGAACTTGAGCAGAGTACCAGCAAGTACTGTGCATAGTATGAAGTGTGATTTTTTTTTTTTTTTAAAGATTTTATTTATTTGACAGAGACAAAGTGAGAGAAGGAATGCAAGCAGGGTCAGAGGGAGAGCGGGAAGCCGGGACTCGATTCTAGGACCCTGGGACCATGACCTGAGCCCAAGGCAGACGCTTAATGACTGAGCCACCTAGGCGCCCCTGAAGGGTGATTTTATTTTATTTTTTATTTTATTTTTTTTTTAAGATTTTTATTTATTTGCGAGAGAGACAATGAGAGACAGAGAGCATGAGAGGCAGGAGGGTCAGAGGGAGAAGCAGACTCCCCGCCAAGCAGGGAGCCCGATGTGGGACTCGATCCCGGGACTCCAGGATCATGACCCGAGCCGATGGCAGTCGCCTAACCAACTGAGCCACCCAGGCGCCCTGAAGTGTGATTTTATAATCTTGTTTCAGATATGGGTATGTGCATATGAACAGATTGGTTCACAATGTTAAATATAATTCTTATTCGGGTCATGGTTGGAAAAACGCTTGGAAAACACTGTTCTAGAGGAGAGAGCCTGCCTCTGGCAAGACTGACGGCGGCGCTGTGGCCTGTGAGAGCTCGTGGGACTTGAGTTTGCGTTCGTCCCGAGCCCCTCCTGCCCGTGGCCGCCTCCCCAGAAGCCCTTCACGTCCTGCCGCTTCTGTGGTCCCAGGACAGCGGGCGGAGGGGGAGGCCGATGTAGGCCAGGCTGCAGAAGTTTGCAGGCAGCAGCTGGCCTCTGCTCTTCTCAGAGGCTGGTGGGGACAGCTGTAAGGGTACACAGCTGCCTTGTTAAGTGTCAAGCCTGAAGAGGTGCGTCCGTCCTTACGAGGGACGGTTTGTGCGGGGCCAGGTGTCTTGAGCGTCCAGGTGTGCTGCCCGGAGCTGGAGGGCGGCACTTCGGGTGTGTATGGGGGGCAGGGGGCGGATTCAGAGAGAAGGCGAGAGGGAGAGCTCAGGGGAGGGGCTGGCCTGGCGGCCGCTTCACTTCCGCCCCTAGCTTGCCCAGCGTGGGTGACGCCGTGGACCTGGGCTCTGCGAAGTCCAGTCCAGGGCCGGGGGGAGTGGGCGCTGAGGGAGCCACTCTGCCTGCAGCCACCGGCGGCACAGCGACTCGCTGTCTGGACCGACGTCTGGTTCTGCCTCGCCCCTGGCCCCGTAGAACTCGCAGCCCTGAGTCCCGCCGTGGGTTCTGCTGCAAAGACAGGAGGTCGGGTGCTCCGTGACTTGACAATGTCCGGCATTTATCATCCACCTTTGTCCTGCGAGGCGGTCTATGCAGACCGCGGGCTCCTTGAGGGTGGGGCCCGGGTCGTGGTGTTCAAGAAGCAAGATTCAGCTGAGTAAATTGGAAGGTCTAATTGGCTTTATTAAACAATCCAGGAGTTGGGCAGCATCCCACCTAGCAAGGACAGGGGAGCTCTGCCGAGCCGACCGAGAGAAAGGTTCTTAAAGCAGAGGCATAAACAAAGACGAATTTATTAGCAGGGAATGCAGTGTTTAGGCAAGTTTGCCCTCCTAAGGGGAGCTGAAGGGGCCTCTCAGGAAATTGCCAAGTATCGCCGAGGAGATTCTACGTTGACTGATTAAAGGTTTCATTCATTCCTCTCAGCTACTGCTCTGTAGTTCTCAGAGCCTCTGCTGATCTTCGGCATTCTCAGGTCCTGATGTTTTGGCTTTCTCTCTGCGAGACTCACAGGTTATGACTTCAGGTTTATGTTCCTTTAAGTCAGTGGTCCTCTCTGTACCTTGTTGCTGGTCCAGTCTGAGGGGACCATGTGCTTGGTGGTTAAGTGACTGCAAACATGCCTTTAAAATTTTTGAGAGAATATAATGCACCAGGGAGATTATTATGATTATGGTAATTCCCAGTGTTTGCAGGGTACTTTGAAGCTATGCTCTCCAATCCAATCAAAATCAAATAAATCAAAGACCCCATGGAAGGAGTCCTCTTTTTAAGGCAAGTGGCTTACTTTGTGATTTGATGTAATCGAGTTTCAAATTTCCCAGAACGGTGAATCCAGGTGGAGCAGGTGGGATTGGCTCCAGCAGGCACCTCCGTGCTCGGCTGAAAGACAATCAACGGCTGTTCTGTTATGGAGAACAACTTTGGCCAGAGAGTCCAGGGATCGTTGTTGGGCAGTTCTTGCTTTAGTGGCAATTTGGCAAACATTTCAAGAATTAAGGAGAAGTTCCTGATTAGAGCCTCATTATATTTATCCCTGGAAGTAGGGATCTGCCAAAAGGAGAGTCATGAATCACAAAAGCCTCCTGGTAGTTCCCTTCGAACTCACGATGTAAATTCACAGGACTCGACCCATGGTAAAAGTGTGATTTTCTCCTAGCCTGAAATAAAAGGTGGCTCTGAATTCCAGAAGTTGCCCCCTGAGCGGTGGCCTGGGAGGGAAAGATAAGGGTGTTATCTCGCCAAGCCAATGCCAGAGGGAGGGGAAGGAAAAGAGGGCAAATGGTGTCCTGTTCAGTTCCGGTGTGAAGTCTTGATCTGGCGTCGTGAGTGGAGGCAGTCTACTTGGGTGGCCAGTGTTTATCTCCCTGGTCAGGGTGATTGTCCAGGACCAGGGCTCCAGTGGAGCTTTCTTCAGTTGTGTGATGGGGACTCAAGGCTCAGTGCCTTCTAGTTGCACAGCGGTGTCAGTGGTCAGGAGCATTCCCGAAGGTCCCGAGAGCTGTTTTTCTCTGGTGATGTTTCCAGAATCTCTAATCATCACCAGGCTCTAGACTGTGCCTAACAGGACCCTTTGAACTGGGATCCCAGATGGTTTTTTGAGGCTGTTCATAACAGGCTGGAGCACGAGACACAAAAGACTCACAGTGGCTGGTCACACTGGCATGAAACAACAAGGTTGTACACGGATAGAGTTTCAGGAAATCTGCAAGGTTCTCGTTAGGTGAAGAGGGTGCCTCGATCACTGGAGATTACACAAGGTATACCCCAAGTGGGAAACACTTTTAATAGTTTTTTTATTTCCTACTGTGAGGACAACAGTCTTGGGGGACGGAAAGGCTTCAACCCTTCCAGAAAACACACGTGCAATAACACGACTATTGGGCACCTGGACCAAGAGGCAGTTGAATGCGGCGCAGCTACTGGTGTTCAAAGGGTCCAGAGCGGGAGGTCTGAGGCCTCTGGGGACAAAAACGGTTTTTTCAGGATTGTGGACCCGACCAGTCAGACACTGCTAAACGACTGTTTTTGTAATTTTATAGACCTTTCCCCACTAATGTCTTTTTATAATTTGAGTCATCTTGAATGTACTTTGATGGGCGCAGGACGGCAAAAACCAAAAACAGGGTTTGTTAGGGAGCGAGGAAGAATCAAGTGGCCATCCTGGGTTTCCCATAGCCCAACCGTTTTAGTTTAATTTCTCTGATTCTGGAGCAGACCTTTGCCACGTTATAAGGACGTCAGGATGGCAAACGTCTGGCACTGAGGGGCCATTTTCTGCAGAAAGAGAATGGAGTTAATCCACATCTTTATAGATTCTGTTGCTGCTGCCTTGCACAAAAGTCACCTGGTCACATATTAAAATTGCTTTCCAAAGATTTCTTTCCACAAACCTTCTAGAACTTTCCTTTTTTACATTCAGATTTTGTCCTAAGCTTTCCCTTGTTAAATAACCAGTCTCACTTTAGGACAAAATTACCTTCTTTTCCATCAAAGATGTATTTCTGTTTTGCGTATTTTTTCTTACCAAAAACACATATCTTTCTTTCCTTACATACAGAGTTGTCTCTCTTATTTCCAGTAGCCTTAATTACATTAGAATTTTTAAAAAAGCTTTATTTAAGTAATCTCTAAATGCACCATGGGGCTCCAACTCATGACCCCCAAATTAAGAGTTGCATGCTCTTTCAGCTGAGCCAGCCTGGTGCCCCTTTATGAGAATTCTTAACTCTTAAGTATATGCCTTTTTCAATTTCTCAAAGTAGCCCTAACATATCAAAATATCTTTTAGTTTCTCTGTAATAAGTAGTCAAACATAGATAAACCTATGTGTAGTAATTGTTTTAGTATTTTAAAATAAAAACTTTCCTTAAATCTGGAAAAACAAAACATTTTTAAAAAATCAATGTTTTAACCAAAAAGTTATAAAAATTATCCTCCTTAGTTAATTGAGTCACATATTTTTCTGGTTCTGCTTGAATTTAGTTCTTCCATTAGTTCTGGAAATTCTTACCCAGTTTAATTGTATGAGCTGAAGGTTATCAGAAATCTGTACTGAGAGGTCTTTCCATGAGTCTCATTTAAGACAAAATATATTTGCAGGAGGCTTCTGTAAAAGCATCTGAGTAAAAAGTATACCCGTAAACGATAAAAGTCTTAAAAATGGCCATGGTTAAAGATCTGATTAGAGTTTATTACAATGCAAGTGGCAAGGAAATTTGGTTATTTCTGTGACATATAACACTTTAAGATAATAATATATCAGGACATATCAGATTGTTTGGAGTTTCACATAATTTTTAGAACACTTATTTTGATAACTGACATCTACACAAATATAAAGTTTGGTAGCACTTATCTGACAGTGCTGTCCATGGGATTAAACACAACAAACAAGCCTAATGAGTTTAATTATTCACAAAATCTTTGAAATGTACAATGGGCCCTCTGGAAAATTTCAGTTAGATTGTGGCCAGAAAGACTTCATTTTAGAATTTGATTTTGGGAAGTATGTCAAAAATATCAAAAGGTTTGGACATTTGGTTAAATAGGATCACGAATTGTTATAAAACAATAGTTAACTATCCATTTAACCAAAATGACAATAAAAGATTATAAAGGCCAATACAGTAGGTTACATAGTTGTAAGCAAAATTTAGTCCTTTTAATATTAAGACTCAGTTTAAGTAATCCAAAGACCTGATAAACATAGGAAATTATTTTGGCAAAACACAGAATCCTTGTTTTTTATAAAGAAAAACTTTTGTTTATAATTTCTTACTAAGAGCAGACCAGGAGTTCAAGAAAAGTTTGACCTTTTAACAGAGAGAAAACAATTCTAATTTTCCACCAGTGTACTTTTGATGATAAAACTCATTTACTTAAATTTACCTTCATCTTACCTAGTACTAGCCACACAGAAAATTTCTTTCCAAAGATTTCTTTTCCATAAATCTTCTACAATTTTTTTTTACATCCAGATTTTGCCTTAAGTTTTCACTTTGCTTCAGGACAAATTTATATTCTTCTTCCTCAACAGAAATGTATTTTTATTCCTCATATTTTTTCTCACCCAAAACACATATCTTATTTTCAGTTGCCTTATTTACATTTATTAGAATTCTTAACTCTTAGAAACCTTAATTTCTAGTGAAAACTAAGTAGTAAGCAATTGTAAACTGTTACACCAGAATTCTTTAGATTGGCAATTTTTTTTTAAGTAAGCTGTATGCCTAATGTGAGACTTGAACTCATGACCCCAAGTCACGTGGTCCACTGACTGAGCCAGCTAGGTGCCCCTAGATTGGCAAATTTATGAATATATTTCATAATTTAGAAACATGTGTTTCTTCATAGTACAACAGCATAAAACAGAACCAAATTTGTTTTATACAGAGAAACTAAAAGTAGGTGAACCTATATTAATACTTAATGTTGTATTACTTTTTCTTACTGGGAAATGATCTAGATACTCAATGAATTTTTTTTTTTTTAAGATTTTATTTGAGAGAGAGAAAGCACCAGTGGGGCAACGGGGAGAGGGAGAAGCAGACTCCCTACTGAGCAGGGAGCCCAACGTGGGCCTCCATCCCAGGACCCTGAGATCATGACCTGAGCCAAAGGCAGACACCTAACTGACTGAGCCATCTAGGTGCCCCTAGATACTCAATGAATTTAATTATCCATTTAATTTAGCAAAACTTTTTAAAGTTTTGCGTTACCATCAAAAAGATTTTGGAAGCTATTTAAAAGTTTACCTAGCCTGGGTGGCTCAGTCGGCTAAGCATCTGCTTTTGACCCAGGTCATGATCTCAGGGTTCTGGGATGGAGCCCCATGTGGGGCTCCCTGCTCAGCGGGGAGTCTGCTTCTCCCTCTGCCTCTCCCCCCAACTTGTGCTCACTCTCTCAAATAAATAAAATCTTTAAAAAAAAATTTACCTAGAAACCTTTTTATCTTATTTACATCTATTTAATATACTTGCTCTTATTATATTTGGACTACCCATAAAACTTCATGAGGCATTAGACTCAACCATTATTCTGGGGGTTTTTTCTGACAGATTTTGCAACAGAGAGAACATGAAACTCATTTGACTTTCAGTAAACACAGGCAGAATACAAGTTTTATATTTAATGCTGATAACTCTAAAGACAGGTCTATTTTAATTAAACCAATAATCTTAAATTAGCTTTAATACCAAATATTTTCCCAGATCATGTGAACTTAAACATTTGGGTTAGTTTTTAGCTTTCTCAGTTTTAAAGACTTATTTATTTATTTTAGAGAGAACTAGGGGTGGAGGTTGGCAGGGACAGAGGAAAAGAGAGAATCTCAAGCAGACTCCCCTGTGAGCACGGAGCCCAACACAGAGCTCCCTCTCACAACCCTGAGGTCATGACCCCTAGATCATGACCTGAGCTGAAATCAAGAGTTGGACACTTAACCGACTGAGCCACCCAGGCGCACCACAAGCTTTCTGAGTTTTAGAATGCCCGATTCTTACCAGCGCATGCCTTCAGATAAACTAATTAGAAGTCTGTTACAATTTTAGCCATACCACCCAAAAATACAGAAAATATCTCACATTTACAACATACATGGACACACATACAAATACACAGACCAGAGGCAAACAAAATCTTCTAGCTTTTGGTTCTACTTGCGTTTGTAGAGCGATTATAGGCCCAATTTCCAAATACTTCCCTCTCTCCCTTTTTCTAATGAAAAACTTCCCTCTCAAGTTTGCATTTCAAAGAATGGCTCCTACCTAGGTCCTACAGAAGATGGGGTAGAAAATGTACAGAGAAAGTATCGAAGTTTTGTCCAAGGTGGAGATTTGGAGCTTATCTGCCTGTTATCAGAGGTGCTCAAGTGGGCATGAGAGCCCTGTTACTGGTTTGTATTTTAAAAAGGCCTCTTCCCCTCTCATTTTTCCTTCAGCCTCAGGTAATTGTGGGCTGTGTTCACATTTCAAAGACGTGATAAGATTTATGATTTAAAGGGACAGAAAGAATGCAAAAAACTTTAAGAGTTTTGGGGTAATTGTGACTTAAAATTGACCTTTTCTAAACTGGTCAGCTGTGGCAGTCTTCCTTCCTAGCCATGGAAGAGCATATTCTTGTTTATTGGCAAAGCTGTACCCTTTTAATGGGGAGCCGATTCTGACTTTCACAGGTAACCTCTTCACTTTTGAAAACCTGGAGGGTGCTGGATTCTTGGGCACACATCTAGCTATTGGTCAAATGCTTCTAGGAAGCTCAGTTGTTCCGATGGGCAATGGAACACAGGACAAGATATTAAGAAATTCAAAGTAATGTGGGTGAAGACTTGTTTATTTAGCGTCCTGTGGTACATTGCCAAACATGATTTTAAATCTCAACAGCTTGGGTCCTGGATGGTGAATAATGTTCTGGAACCTATCAGGGCAGTATTTTCAATATAGGCCTAAATATTATTTCTGCCTAAATATGGCATTTAAGGAGAGAATAATTGAGTGCTTCCTTGTTATAATTAAATAAAATGCTTGATTGCTCGGGGGGGGGGGCGGAATTACCTTTTTTCCCCTTAAGTACAGGGCAATTTTGTTCCAATATCCTGACCTTTGATAATATCCACAAATATTTTGAGAGGAATGGAAGAGGTTGGTAAAGATAGGTGGTTTTTGACATATTTCTAGAGTTGCATTTCTGGTTTTATAGAGATTTGGAAGACAAAGACAGTTGTTTTTAATCCCCCCAAAGAACTGGATTCCAGCCTGAATATCAAGGGACTGGCCTACCTCTTTAACTAAATTTGCTTCTTTATATCAAGCGGAATTTTATGCTTTTGTACAGTCTGGATAAAGCATTTTAACAAAAGCCTTCATGGTTACACAGTTCAGCCAGGACTTCTATTAGCCCCTCAGCATCAGCCTTCCTCTGATCATTTCTAGGAGGGCCTAGGGGAAATTTTATTGGTCATCTCTTTCTTCTGTGAAGGGGAGGTTGTGAATAGTCAAATCTTTTTAATATTTCTCTAAGTTTGGTAGGATCTTCTGAAAATGGAGGAAAAAGGGCTTTATAAAGATTTGCTGCTGTTTGGGGGACATGGATTTTTTGCAGTAGGGGGCAGGATCTAGGATACACCTGACAAAGGTGAGCATATAAAAAGGTCTGAGGCTGGGGCGCCTGGGTAGCTCGGTCCGTTAAGCACCTGCCAGGTCATGATCCCAGGGCCCTGAAATCGAGCCCCGTATCGGGCTCCTTGCTCTGCAGGGAGTCTGCTTCTCCCTCTCCTTCCCGCTTGTACTCTCTGTCTCTCCTCTCTCTCTCTTTCAAATAAATAAAATCTTAAAAAAAAAAAAATGACGCTGACAGAGGTTGATTACAGTAAACCAAACCCTCCTGTTTGTCCTAGGTGCTTCTGTTAAACTCACTTTTTGGCTTCTAGCATTTATAAGAGTAGTCTATATACTGTGAACCTAGAGGTTGGGCTAGATTTTAAGAAGGGGAATTTTCATGGGACATTCATCTGTCTTAAGTCTAATTTTTGTTCTTTTATCTTGTCAAGGGAATCCCTAAGACTAGCCATTATACTAATAAGACAATTGAGAGCTCTTTATAATTTTTCTCTTTCAAATAGCCAATTTAAAGGAGCTAGAGTTTGGCCATTGACAAATTGGGTCTTATTAATTTCAATAGTGATTCAAACCCATAAGCCTTTTAAGGGCTTAATCCAAGACTTAAGAGGTGTCCCCAGAGAAAGCAGAGATGATGCAGCCCCCACGATCCAAAAGCCTACTCCCAAGAAGGGTCTGAGAAAGTAACCACCTTCGTTGTACAGGCTGTAAGAATGAGGTGGTGTGTACGGTGCCTCTGGTCTCCTGGAATGTAAGACACCTCTAGGCACAGACCTGCTCATCTGTGACATTGGGCTGGTGCTTCTGGAATGAGGTTTCTCTAGCGCTAAGGAGCAAGAAAGGTTGAAGCAGCAGAGGCCCCTCCCTTCGGGGCTGGGGCCCCTAATGACACACTTTCCTGAGAGCCGGCGTGGCCGGACGGAGAGCGCTGTTTGTAATTGTGTGTCTCGGGTCCCCGGTCTATTGGACTGGCCACCACGATGCACCCCGGTGAAGTGTGCCCTCCCAAGTGCGGGAGACCAGAGAAAATACGCTCACTGGTCACAAAGCCAAGCGCTTAGGACACAGAACTAGACAAAAGGAAAAATCTCTTATGTTCACATTAACAGCCCTGCCTAAGCCTTGGGTCTGCGGGGGCCAAACCAAGACCTAGAAGGGCTATGCCTTGACGTTGGGGACTGTGTGCTGTTTTACTGTGTACCTCACTGCATGGATGTTTTCTTGAGGCCAGCAGCGGACTGAGTGTCCGTCTAACCCCTTCCATGACCTTATCCTAACGGCGGGGGGAGGGTGGGAGATCTTTGAGTGAGATGACAAGCAATCTAACAGCTTCTGACTGCTGACCCGTGACCACCAATTTTGTCGCTTGGGCTTCCAAGATGTTTCTTTAGCAACAGCCCTCACTTCATGTGCGCATTAACCCACAGCAGAGTTCGTTTAAACAGACCCTGTTCTGAGGGGAACTGTGACCTCACCGGTCTGTGAGGCCGGCTACACAGCAGGCTTATAGGGCTGAAGCCTGCATTCTGTCCCGTGAGAAGTCCTTCCGGTGACACTCAACAAAAAAAGACACAGATGAAAGAAAACAGTGACCACCTCTGGGAGAATATGATCAGTCACCCAAGAGTACACTACCAAATTTTTACCAAAAGTTGTTCAGCCCAAGGAACTAGTTCTACAGTATTTTCTCCTGCTAACTAAATTTAGAGAAAGGAGGATTGTCACCACTCTCAGGTTCCACCAGGCCCTGCAGACAGAGAAGCCGGGAGGCTGGCATGGTCAGAACCTTACCTTCTGCTGGCTGTGCGTCAGCTGTCCCAGGATCTCTGGGCGAGCCGCTGTCCTGCGAATGAGTATCCACCGCTGTCCTGCGAATGAGTATCCACTGGCTACGCCAACCGGAGGGAAGGGAAGGTTCTTCCTCTACCTTTCAAGTTCTTCCAGCTGGACTAAGAGTTACATAAGACAGATTAACCAGAGGGAAAAAACCAAAGTTTTATTGTGTGTGCACAGTGGGCCAATAATGAAATTGAGACCTAAAGAGATGACCAAGGCAGGCAGTTTTTGTATTTTTTAGGCAGAGACAATAAATAAATCCATGAGGAATTGACAGGATGAAGAAAACTTAACTTTGGGAGCCCCAATTAGTAAGGAATTCTAGGCAGAATTTGGGGTGTGATATTGGTAAAAATTAACAAGTGTTGTTTATACAGTTTTTCTGGCTCTAAATTTCCCGTCTCTGGTGCTAAGAATGAGAGTGCCTTTCACATGGGAGATTTACCTCTTGCTTTCAGTGGGACAGAGGGGGGTCTGAGTGTCGTCCTTGTACAGGTTGTCTCTTAAATACGTGTTCTTTAAAACCATCAGCATGCCATAGTGGCACATTTCGGTGCAGCCTGCCCTTGGGTCCTACAAAACCAACCATTTCTGTAGATATTCACAGCTCTGGCACTGTGGTTTTTAGACCTAAAATGAGCAGGTGTGCTGGAAGGTGGCATGTTTGACTCTTCAGAACTTAAGGATCCTATTAGCTAAGGCTTTGTTTCCACGATCCGCTCTTTTACAAACTGATTTTAGTAATACCATCCAGAAACAATATCTCACATTTATGACATACATACAAACACACAGAGGCAGGAGCACCTGGATGGCTCGATTGGGAGTCTGCCTTCGGCTCAGATCATGATCCCAGAGTCCTGGTTTGGGTTCTCTGCTTGGCAGGGAGCCTGCGTCTCCCTCTTCCTCTGTGTTCTCTCTCTCCTTCAAACAAACAAACAAACAAACAAATAAAATCTTTAAAAAAAAATACAGAGGCAAAGACTCTATAGTTACTAATATTTGTGGAGAAGATTTTTTTTTTTAAGATTTATTTGTCCCTGGAATCAAGCTTAAGGAGGCTGTAGAGTTTGGGCACAAGAGCCCTTTTTAGCAGTTTGTACTTTAAAAAGGCCTCTTTCTTTCTTTCTGTCTCAGGTCATTGATAGGTTGTGTTTGATAGATGTATAACTTCAAGGGACAGAGAAAGAATGTAAGTTCCTGCAAGAAGGACTTGGGTTTCCCAAGACCAGTAATTTACGAGCCTTTGAGATAAATGAGGGAAGTTTTGGAATAGGTGTAAAGGAATAGGTGAATTTTGAATTGTGCCTGGAGTGGACTTTTATTTTGAGGGGAAAAAAAAAGATAAGGACAGTTGCTCTCAATTTCTCGAAGAATTGGGCTGTAACTTAAATGACATCATAGGTCGGCCGCCTATCCCAACTACATTATCCTCATTCATTTTCTTTCCCTCTGGGTACATATTTGAATTTCAGATATTTCTGGCAGTACTGAATAACCCCCCTTGGGTGTTAAGACAGGTTCCCAAAGAGGCCGCGAAGGATATATCTTCCCGAAATCCAGAGTCACTCCCAAAGACAGCCAAAAGAAAGAAGCAACAACCTGCACGTCCCAGGCAGGCAGAAAGCCAAGCCTGGTTATGCAAAATGAGACAAGGAAGAGGGTGACAGCTGCCCCTGGGAGGGAGGGCATCAGTGAACAATGAGTTTAGATTCGGGAAGGAAAGGGTGACGTGCAGTTTTCTTTTCCCCTCTCCATGGGCACTGCAGCGGGCACCTTCAGAAGAAGTGATTCTGGTAAGCATTTTCACCCTTCACTGGCTTCTGCCAGTTTTTCCAGGGTCCCCTGTGTGGGCTCTGCTATCTGCAGGAGGTTCCCCTTAGCTATTTATTTTTTTAAGATATTTGAGAGAGAGGGAGCGCAAGTGAGAGAGAGAGAAAAAGAGAGAATGAGCACCAACGGTGGGAGCAGCAGAGGAAGAGGGACAAACAGGCTCCTCGCTGAGCAGGGAGCTCAATGCAGAGCACGATCCCAGGACCCCCCACCCCCGACCCCCATCCCAGATCATGACCTGAGCCTAAGGCAGATGCTTAACTGTCTGAGCCACCCAGGCGCCGCCCCCCCGCCAACCCCTTGGCTGTGGCAGTTTACCAAAAAATTTCTCAGTTTCATTAACTCTGAGAGGGGCCATGTATGGCCAATACCTTGCCAGTTTTGTTTCTGGTGGCATTTTCAGAGCGGGGAAAGGCAATGCAGACCGAGGATTAGCAGAATGAGTGCTCAGAGGACAGAGGGGGACAGCAAGAGTTCCTTCTGTTTTGCTTTAGGTCCCTCTTACACCTTTAATTTTCGTGAGCCTTTTGCTAAATCTTTATTAATCTTTTAATGAAACTATTTCGGAATTTTGAAACCTTTGGGAGCTTCTGCTTGCCAATGTAAACAGGCATCCCATTCGGTTTGGGAGCTTGCGCTTTCCAATGCACTTCTTAAATGACCTTCTCTAATGGGAACGTTCCCCTTTGTGGCCAATATACTGCTAGGCTGTTTTTAGCAGAGTTTTGCCATTTCTGTAGAAATTCACAGCTCCCGGCACCATGGTTTTTAGACCTAAAATGAGCAGGTGTGCTGGAAGGTGGCATGTTTGACTCTTCAGAATTTAAGGATCCTGTTAGCTAAGCCTTTGTTTACACGAAACAAGACAAACATGTACCTTAACACACCAGCAGTAACCACAAGGTGTTGCCGTGGAGTGGCCGAGAGTAGGCCGTGCCCAGCATGGGCAATTCCCTGTGTGGACTGACCCAGTGGCCTCCAGCGTGGGGACTGTGTACTGGAAATGGGAAAGGATTCAAGCAGCAAAGCCCAGTAAATGGGGATTGCAGGTGGGAGCCCGGAAGGGATTCCAGTGTGGACTGGCGGGCTGAACCCAGGGCTAAGCACTGGCGCTCCATGAGAGCCCCCACCAATCTATGCTGACCTGGACTGGAAAGCCAGTTAGGTCGGTAGCTCGAAGGCAAAGAGGGGAGCAGAAACTGAGAGCACTCACTGGCGGCACCCAGGCAATGTCGAGAAAGGGGAACGTAGAAGGGCTCGCAGGGGGGTCCCCCGTGCCAGTGATTCTCCCTGTCCCCATGGGCCATCAGAAGCTCGCTGTAGATCCCAGTGCCGCCACCAAGTCTGTGAAACAAAATTCAACCACATAAATTGGAAGGTCTGGGTGGCTTTATTCAACAATTCACGAATCAGGCGGCATACCGTCTACCAAGTAGAGAGGAGCTCTGCTGAGCCAAACAAGAGAAAGGTTTTTGAAAGGCAGAGCAGAGAAGGCATTAAAAAAAGGCATTAAAAAGGCATCATTTAGGGCGCCTGGGTGGCTCAGTTGGTTGGGCGACTGCCTTTGGCTCAGGTCATGATCCTGGAGTCCCGGGATCAAGTCCCGCATCGGGCTCCCTGCTCGGTGGGGAGTCTGCTTCTCCCTCTGACCCTCCCCCCTCTCATGTGCTCTCTCTCATTCTCTCTCTCTCAAATAAATAAATAAAATCTTTAGGAAAAAAAAAAAAGGCATCATTTACTAGCCAGGAATGCATTGTGTAGGCCAGGTTGCCCTCCTAAGGAGCAGAAGGGGACTCGGGAAATTTCCTGGTCAGGTTGCCTGGCTAAAGGCTGTATTCCTGGGGAGGTGAAACTGCAGTTCGATTAGGTATTAAGTTCTGGTTTACTGACCTGGGGCTTTAACCTCAGTGAGGCCATTTGAAGCCTGTGGGTTGTTTCTTTTAAAAAACAAAACAAACAAACAAAAAACAGTCACTGCTGTGTCCCCGGGGCTTAGCGCTGCGTTTTCATTTGCTGAATAACAAAGTGCCTCAGTGCCAGGCACGGTGCTGGCACCATCCAGTGGTGACCAAAAGGGACCTGCCCTCATTCGTGGGTTTACCACCTAGTGAGGGGGACACCCAGTAAAGAAAAAAATCACTCAAGCAATTCACTGTGAGAGCTGTAAAGGAGAGAGCTAAGAAGGGAACCTAATACAGACGAGGTTTCATGGAACTTTTCCCTCAGGAAGTGGCATTAAGCTAAGCCATGAAGAATGAATAGGAAAGTATTCCAGGTAGAGGGAACAGCATATGCAAAGGCTCTGAGGCAGGAAGGAGGAGCATGGTATCCTTGAAGAACAGCAAGATATTGATGTGCCCTGGGGTTCAGACAGTAGAGAAGGGGCAACGGGGGGCAGAGGAATTGGGGCATACTAGACTATAAGAGATCTGTGGGTAGTGTTACGTATTCTGGTCTTTATCCTAAAAGCAACGGAAAGTCATGGAGGGATTTGAAGCAAAGGGGGATATGATCAGCGTTGCATTATAAAAAGACCACTCTGGCTCCTCCAGGAAAATGGATTTGAAGAGGTCACATGGGTACATGTAAAGGGACCAGTCAGGAGGGCACTGCAGTGATCCAGAGAAGAGATGATGGTACTCAGTACCACGATGGTGGTGGTACAGATATGGAGGGGTTCCAGGGAGGTATGCTGGAGATGTTTCGAGAGTAAGATAGAACTCTGGGATAGACAGAATATGAAGATGAGGAGGAAGGGGTCAAGGCTGATCCCCAGGTCACTGACTTACACAGCTGGATGAAGAGTGGCCTGACACGGAGTTACGGGCCCTGGGCCGGCGTGGCCACCTTGAGGGGCCCGGGAGGCGTCCAGGTGAAGATGCTGAGTAGGCAGAGCCACACAGGAGAGGTCTGGGCTGCAAGTCCACTGACGTAGGGACGAGGTCGCCTGGGGGTGTGATAGGCCCTTCCCCCAGCCTAAAGGAAATCCAGTACTTAGCGGCCACAGGCAGGAGAACGGGGGGGGGGGGGGGGGGGGACTGAGACGGAGTGACAGACACAGGAGAAAACCAGAGAGCCTAAGAGCAAGCCAAGCGAGTTTGGTGTTTCAAGGAGGCAGAGGGCAGGACAGCCAAACGCCTGTGAAGGACAAGACAGACCAGGCCTGAGAGATGTCATTAAGTTCAAGTTTATAGAGGCTACCGGTGACCTTAGTGAGAGCCAGTTCAGAGAGTGACGATAGCGAAAAGGAGTAATATTATCACACAAGTGTCTGAATAGAGTACGTCTCTTAACTTCAGGGCCATGTGAGGAACAGGATTGTGTTAGGAACACACACTGGCAAGGCTCCCACAAGTTCCTAACATTTTACTTGTGTTCTTTGTTTTTCTCTGACAGCCTAAATGGAAACTTGATAAAGCCGGAGGAGGCCAAAGTCTTTGAAGATGAGAAGCGGATCATCTGCTTCTGAGAGGCAGGGGTCTGAGCCCAAGGAGGAGCCCGCTGCCCTGATGAACAGAGGAGCCGCCCCGCATAGCTGTTACAATTGCGCAGGGCCTGAGTGCGCCTGGTGAGCCGTTTTAGTGACTAAATGCACTAGGAAGAGATGTAATGCATATGCAGGATCATTTTTATCGGACACGAGAGGAATAAGGCTGAGCTCACAACTGGCCCTCAGCACCAGGGAAGTGAGTCAGTCATGCTGTCTTCATGGAAGAGTTGAGGACACAGTAGAGAGTCAGTGCCACGCTTCTTGCAGAAAAGGTGCTCAACAAACAAGTGTTTTACCTGGAACATTCTCTTCCTCCTTAGTACCTCCCGACAGGTTGACGGTCTGCCCACTTCACAGCTGTAGAGACTGAGATATGCGCAGCGTCGGGATTTGGCGCTTCCAAGGTTTTGCCAAAGCAAAGGCTCCTCGTGGGCTTCTGTTTTAGTCCTTGGGTCTCAGTGTCTGTTGACGGAGATCACAGGGTGCCCTCTTAGCAGGTCTAAGAGAAAGGGTGGGGTCTTCATACTGCGGAGTTTCCACTCAGGGCTTCCTCATGCTGGGCTGACTTCCTCAGGAAGGCTGCTAAGTGTGGGCTTAAGTGCTCTGCGCCAGGAGGAAGAACCTGTGCCCTTCCTCGAAAAGGAATAAGGCCTGGCTTGCCTTTGCGGCCCTGGGGTCCAAACAGAAGCTTTTGTCCCTGTCTCTTGCCCTCCTGAGGAAGAGAGATCTCTCCCTGCCCCGGAGTAGTTGTGAGGATGACTGAACCCGACTGAAGGCTGAGGGAGTTGCTGAGAACCCGGCTAGCAGAGCATGTTACACGGACCATCACGGCAGGCATGTGCTGGACATTAAATGGGGGAGGGGTGGTGATATTACCAGATAACTTGTTCTTTTGCCAATTCGTTTAATAAAGTACTGAAAACATCATTTCTAATCGCCCGAGTCTGGGATTTTTAAAAGGGAATTTAGCCTGAGAAGCACGGGAGGGCCCCTGGACTCCATGGCTTGACTCCCTTCGGGATACTCACTGTGTTGGGTGGGGCCCTGGCGTGTAGTGCTGTGAAGGGCCTGCTGAAGGAAGGGCCAGAGGCATCATCGTTACGGTCCTTTGCAGGCCTCTCCACCTACCAAGGGATCAAGAAAAGCCAAGGGAGCAACTGAGGTCTTTTCCTCCATCTGACCTCTGAATCCATACAGCTGGCTTCTCAGAGGCACAGACTTGTTCCAGGGAGGCTGGGGCCAGGGTATGCTGCCTGGGCCAAATTCCACAGCCCTCACCACTGTGGCTCGGCAGACCCTGGCAGGCCGGGCTCTACGTCTACCACCTTCCATGGCGGTTCGCTGCTGAGTGGACCTGTCACCCGCTGTGGCAGGAGGCACCAAGCTGATAAGGACCAAACACGAGAGGGGAAGGGACGAGGAGGCCTTCCAACAGTACCTTGGAGTTCTCGGAGGTCCAGTGTGGCTTTGTGCAGGAGCCCCTGTCAGGAAGTGTGCCACCGAGCAAGTTAGCTCTAAAACTCCTGTATGGTCATTCAGCTACATGGTGGTTGTTCCCCTGCGGGGCTGCTTTGGTAGCTCTGACCCACCCCTCCCTTCACCCCAGATCTGAGTATTCACCTAAGAGTCACCCCCTGAGGCAGCAACTCTCTCCCTACCAGAGATTCTGGGCAACAGGTATGGAACGAGCATGGCGAGCTGAAGGCCAGGGGTGCTTAGGACAGACTTTAGACTTCCCGAGTAAAGAACTATACTCAGCTGACAGATTCGGGTTTTGTTAAACCACTAAAACTAAACTTTTGAGAGACTAAAGTTTACTCAGAAACTACCAAATAGTGCTGCTTTTACAGATTATCAAAATTAAAACCGCTGCATCTAAGGAAATTAGAATTTGTGTAGTGTTGGCTTAAATTCTATTTGAAATACTTCTGGTCTTCTAGATGGTGAGCAATAGAATTTTTGATTTTTCAGTCTCCTGATTTGCCGGAAGGGTTCCCCATTACTCACTGGTGAGCTTCTGTGCGGAGAAGTGGAGCCTTTTCCTCACCAAGAAAAAGACCATTGAAAATTGAAAGAAAAAAAAAATCCACAAACTTAGGATTATTTCTTCCCACGGGACATCTTGGTTGGTTTCGGGAAAGAAAGGACAGCTCCTATATTTCAGACGTGCATTTCTGGCATGTCTGGGCTGATTTGGAACTTATAAAAAACAACAAAAAATCCCCTGTCGAGTCACCAGGTGGCTTTGGTCCAGGTCCTAAGACTCGGACTCTCAACCTGCGTCTTGACAACCGGGCCTCCTAGGGTAGCCCCCCGTCCTCCCCCGCTCTGGGCGGCCGTGAGGAGCAGACGCGCTGAAGCTGGAAGGCGGGGTCGTTGCTCAGTACACACCACCGGCCACCGTGAAACCAACGCCGCTCATCTCTGCTCGCCAGGGAACGCCCCGCTGCTTCTCTTCTCAGCGCGGGGCCTTCCCGACAAGGTCCCCTATGGGCCTGGAAGCTCTCAAGGTCAGGCCCAAGACCACGATTCCACCTCGGGCAGCTTGGACTAGCCTAGCTTCATCAGCGAAGGCATAGCCATTAGTGTTCACCACGGTCACCTGAGAGCCCTACCGCTCAAGTGTGACTCACAGCCGCGGGGTCCTCGTACGGGGAAGAACGGAGCAGGAGCCCGCGAGCCTCGGCCAGGGGTCCCCTTCTGCTCCCCACTGGACGCGGGTGGCTCACGGGATCTTTTGGTCCACTTCCAGGCGTGCCACGTCTATTTCCAGCAGCGAACTGCTCCCGCCCGGGAAAACCCCCTCGCCCTGGAGCTGAAAGGCGAAACCGTGATCATTGTGCCAGGCGCCCCCAGAGAGAGGGATTTTAACGAAAACGGAACTCGCTGGCGGGGAGGCTCGTGTTCCCACTCAGATGTGCTTGTGGCGCCGCAGGGCCCCGGGGGCCATCCCAGCACGAGGCTCTCAGCCTTCATGTGCAACGGACTGCGCCCAAGACCAGCTTAAAACTTTCAGAGGCACTAAGCACTGGCAAGGTTATGGGCCCCCAATGATCTGTAATTAAAAGAATTTTTAAACAATAGTAAATGCATAAACAGTAAATAAGTGCAAGGATGTTAAGCAAGTTTTCCCATGACTACTTGGGTGTTCTGTTTTGGTGGGTTTTTTTTGTTTTTGTTTTTTTTTTGCAAATAACAAATATCAAAAGATCTCAAACTTTTTTTCTTGATTTTTTTTCTGCCAGTGCTTTTTGTTATAAAAGCAGTATCACAATATTAAAGGAAAAATTTTAAATAATGCTTATAAATAATACTAAGTTACTTCAATTTTTACGTGTCATCTTCCCATGCTTTGCCTACTTTGTGACATTTTTCCCCATTTTTTTTATTTTGGTAAAATACACACAATTAATCCTTTATGTCAGTGGCTCCCAAGGATCCAGCTGTGCTAGGGGCCTGGTGACATTGTTCTTTAAGACTCCATACCAAGTACATAATGTTAAAAACAATTTCCTTTTAAGCCCATTCACCCTTGTGTCCAAAGACATTGGTAAGCAGAGAGTTGGCCCCAAGGCTCAGTAAGGAACAGTACTGCAAGTCTCTGGGTGCTGAGGATTTAGGTTCAAATCTCAGTGCTACCAGTGGTTGCATGACCCTGGACAAGTAACTTAGCTTTTCTGTGCTTGGGTTTCCCATTGTAATACTAGTACTCCTGTCAGAGGGGTGTTCGGTTAGAGGAGTAAATTAATATATGTAAAGAACTTAAGACAGTACCTGACAGGGAGTATGGGCTCCAGGAGTAGTAACTCTTATTATCTGATCAGAACCTTTTCCTTCCAGCAGGGCCTTAATGAGCACCAGGGATAAGGCAAGAGAAAAGAGGGGCCTGGGCTGGGCCATCCTTCCCATCCTTCAGAGCCCCTCCAAAACAACATCACCATTTTCAGACCGATAGCAAGTTCTAGACATTTAAGTGACCTAGAGCCAGAAGCCATTTCCAAGGCTGAATACCTATGGGATAAGAACCATTCCCTATACTTGACACTGTCTTTCATTTTCACTTTGTTAAGGAACTGCATATCTGTGTCATATCCAGAAACATGGATTAGGGAGGACAAAAGCCTGTTTGCATTTTGATTTGATTTCACAGATGTTAGAGAGTATTATCTGGTCTTTCACACTACAATCATGTGGCTGAACGTCATTTCTTTGATGTGAGCCCGTGGTTCTCTGTTCCAGCATTCTTTTCTTTCACTCATTAACACTGCTACTGATTCCCCAGCCCGCTGAAGAAATGAATGCTGGGTGTCTTGAGAGGAGCAGGAGGAGAGTAGAAAGGGAGGTAGAGCAGGGAATAAAGCCAAACAAATTGGGAGGGTGGGAGATGGGTGGGGGGACTCCTGACTTGCACCCAGCTTTGCCCGCTCCTATGACCTTGTCCAGGAACTGGCCCAGTGTGTCTCAGGCTGTCAGCCCAGCGTCCTGGGCACTGGTGTTTA